GGTGCGTCCGGTCAAAAACAGCTTAATCTCTTGCAATATCATCTAATATTGATATCAATCTTTTTGTCAGCTTGTTTTCTTTCAATTAGGACTGGTTTTGTGTTTATTTTTGGAACCGATTTATCGTAGGCCTCATTAATCGGAGCTTACGTACATCCGTTTTTGAGTGAAAAAAGGCATTATTTGTGGATAATTGTCAATAATAAAATATGAACAAAATTTGCACTGTTTATCACACTAGCATGCTCTTATGTTTAACCAAGAAATTTGTTTTGAAATGTTTATATCTTGTAAAAAAATAGCAGAAAAAAACAAACAAACAGTTGTGGTGTTCCTGGTCAGAAATGACCGGCCTACAAAAACTAGTTTATAAATCTGTTGTTGTGTTTCCCAGAAGACAAAAGTAGTTAAATTTACCCTGATCTTCAAATTCAAAAGCTCTTAATGCAGTGTTTTTCCTTCTGGAGCATCAGTGAGCGTCTGAACCTTCTGTAATAGCTGCATACGAGTCTCTCAGTCGTCCTCAGTGAGAAAAGATGCATCTCAGAATCACACAGACATTGTTTGAAAAGATGCAGGAAAACCACAGAACTTGTGGAAGCTGAGGGGTTTTTCTGAAGAACAGCACACAGTTTAACGGTTCAGGACAAACAAGGGACTCATGAACAACTAAACACAAAACACAGCTGTGGATCATCCAGGTAACAACACGTAGCCTTTGTGAATTAACAACAGCGTTATGCTTTATAACTTTTAAATGGGATTAATTTATCATGCAGTCTTAGAAAACAGTCTAATAATGCGTTTCATAAATTCTCGTGTGTGGGATTTACATTCGAGGATTTTTCAACATTTAGAGAAGAACACAATTTTCTTGTCAAGTTAGTTTAAATTAGATGAAACACTGTGGTACAGCATCCAGGTAGAAAGCTTCTCCATGGATATTTTGAGCCACTGTAAGCTAACTAAGCAGCCAGATGCTTACCTCTCCGTGTTCAGACGCCATGATGATCAACACGTGTCTCTGTGAACGATTTAAGGCCAATTTCAGAAGAATCGGAAGTTACGTCACCTAATGATGGGAGAAACGAACCTTTTCGAAGCTTCGAATCAATTGAACCAATTGCTTCACAAAATGATTCAGTGTTCGAAGCGCTGGAAACCGCACACTAGTGACGCCTGTTGACGCTATACAACAAAAACTCAGGCTAAAATATGCATAAAAACTGCTTTTACAAACACATTGCAAAAGTTTTATTGAAAGTATAATACATTAAATGCAATAAAAATAATAAAATTTCATTAAATATGAAGTGTCTGTATATATGTGGTTTTCGAAATATTTTATAATAATTTGCAGAGCTTTTGTTTGTGTGTTTTATGGACAGCTTCTATTATAGACCAGTAAGGCCTATGTTTTATCAGTTTTCCAAGTTGCTGTTTTATCAAATATGAAGAAATGAATGTACTTGTGTGTAGCTTATTTAAACAATTTAACACTTAAAATAAAAAAAATT